TAAAATAAAAGTGTGTCTTTTGTGCAGATGATTACTGTCACAAAGTATTTTGATTTTGCCCTAAAGAGAAATATTTTTATTGTAATTTGGTGTTCCTGCGGTCACATTTGACACAAAAAATTGGCGCTATACAGCAACACAATACGTCAGAGCACAACAAAGCAAAAAGATAAATTCATGGTTTAACATCCTTTAATGATGTTAATAGTCTTCAAACACCTTCATAAATGAGGTGTACAATTATCTCCCTGAAACATAACTCTCCAGTCACTGGACTCCCAATGGTGTGTCTTTCTGTAGTTCCCAGAAGTTCAGATGATTGCAGTGAAATACTGAGAATGAAAAACAGAGGATTCTTCTGCACCATGTCATGCAAGATCAGACGATAAAATGACAACAATTTTGATTCTTACACCTGGGGGCACTCACACGGATAACAGCAGCACAACAGCAGGTATTGTCACATTTGAGGAACCGTTGCTGTTATCGACACCTATCACAGGAAGTGTAGGCGACTCCAAAGACGCTTGGTTGATCTGATGTGAATGTGGGTTTGTTGTATGCTGGTTTAAGTGTGAGTCCACAACTGAAGACTTGTGTGTTATTCACAAGCGATTTTGCCATCAAAGCTGGAAAGTGCGATGGCAAAGGCCTGCACAGCGCACAGCGGGTAGTTGTAATCCAGTGTGAAAATGTCATCAGCTATTCGTCCAAACTGCATCACAATGTAGTCCACTGGAAAAAGCAAAAGAATTCATTAATGGAGTAATTATCTTAATAAATAAATAGGTAGGTGGTTTGGTAGGTAGGTACGTAAGTAGGCAGGCAGGGAGTTAATAAGATGGATCATGGCAATGTACGTACTTAGAAGTAATAAAATATATAAAATATTCACGCTGAATTCCCATATACGTTTATTCTGCATAAACTGCTTGGTCAGTCTAAAGACTGTAAAGCAAGTTCAGCATATAAACTTCAAAATTGACTTGGGATTTTAAAACAAACAAACAAACGAACAAACAAACAAACAAACAAAACATTTGGCATAATAAATAAGAAATTTCAAATATGAAAAACTGCAGTTCTAAATTTCAGAAGAAATCATTTTTTTTAAAAATTGTATCTAAGGGTTGTACAGGCAGAAGTAAAATAATCACTGACCAATGTCTGTCTCTATGAGACATAATTTAACTGGCCACTTTATTAGGTACAGTTTGCTAGTACCAGGTTAGGCCTGCTGTTGGCTTAAAAACTGCCCAATTCCTTGTGGGGCAGCACAGCAATGCAGTGGTTAACAATATTGCCCCCAGTGCACACCTTAACATGTTCTTGCAGTGCGTGCATGGGTTCAATCTAGTTCCTCCAGCACCTTCCCACAGTCCAAACACATGCATGGGGTTAGGTTAACTATGATTTTATTTGAGAGATTTTATTTCATATTGACATAACATAATGCAGCCGGCTGCACATCCATGATGCAAATCTCATGTTCCACCACATCCCGAAGGTGCTCTGGTGGATTGAGATCTGGGGACTGTGCAGGCAATTTCAGTACACTGAACTCACTGTATTCTTCAGGGAATAATTTCTCAGATGATTTGAAGTTTATGGCATGGCACATTATTCTGCTGGTTGCAGGATATACTGTGGTTATTGGGAGATGGACATTGTCAGCAGTAATACCCAGATACTCATTTAGGTTGTGTAGATCTTTGTGTTGTTTTATG